AAGAGCTCAATTCAATTACCTGTAAGACAATCTGCTCCTTCATTCAAGTTCCTTCATTAAAAAGTACACAAAACCTTTTTTTCTTCCTATGGCATCCTATTCCTAAATATTATAAAGAAACTATTTTTTTTTCATAAACTCTACAAAATAACAAATGAGACACAAAATTTAGCAAAGAATTTTCTGATGGGAACTTCAAAAACATTCAGCATATGCTCTTCTCACATGCTCCTAAATGCCGATAAGTCTCACATTTGTGTGTTTAAAATCAGGACCATTTCATTCCTCAGAACCTTACTTGAAAACAAGTCATTAGCTTTTTGAACTTACCCAATCTTAATTTTTTTCTAGAATCATCAAGTCACAAACTTTCTATCAGAAAAATCAAAAGCCTCAGAGATGAGAAGAACTTAGATATGCGATCTGATTTCGCCCTTGCCTACAAACAGGTGAATTTAGTTTAAAAGTATTAAAAATTATGACCTGTGGACGGTGGGCCATGCTTGGCCTTTTGGAATATACACCAAGTGAAAAGACAATTCCTTCACCTCAAAGGAACTGACAGTCTAGTGAGGTGTTTCTCATAGGATATCAGTATCACTTGAGGGAGGTCTGATTGTAAAAATGAATATTTCCAGGCTCCACCTCAGACTTACTGGTTGAGAAATTCTAGAGATAGAACCCAGGAATCTGCATTTTAAAAATTCTTATGCACAATAACATTTGAGAACCGCTACTTCAGTAGGTCTGAGAGATGTACACAAAAGAATATAGGTCAGAGAAGTGCTGAATACGGGCTAAATAGGGACATAAAATTTTTTTTTTATCAACATCTGCCCTCATTAATGCCAGGTATTTATCACAAAACACTAAGTCATATGTTAGTCTTACCCAGACATTCTTCTAAATTATATTCACCATTAAGTTAGATTGTGAGCTATCAATTTTATAATAGAAACCCTTTATGCAGAAACCTAAAACCTCTAGTGATCTACCACTCTCCCTAAAATGTCTAATGCACTCTACATTCAGGTTGATTTCATTTGGCTCACGAATCACACATTTTAGCCTATTTTCCTTCCCTGACATTAGTATTCATAAGGAGTAGTGATTTTCATAACTTTTTCCTTTGACAGAAATAAAAAATTTAAAAAATTACCAACTCAGTTAACATTTAAAAAAAAAAGTTGAGCCCTGCTGGTGCTCAGTGGTTGAGCATCAACCCACGCAGAAAGAGGTCACCAGTTTGGTTCCCAGTCAGGGCACGTGCCCAGGTTAAGGGTCAAATCCCCAGGGGGCAAGAAGGAGGCGACCATCTATCTCTCCCCCTCCCTTCCTCTCTCTCTCAAATCAAATTTTTGTAAGTTGAGTTCAGAAGCATGTGAGATATTTGGATTTTAAGAAAGTAGCCTCATAGCAGAATTAGTTGGCACATACAGATTCTGCATAAGTCTTCACACGTTGTGCACAGAAAAATCAACTGAGGAATGGCTGTCAATGCAGATTGCAGAAGAGTCTACTTGGTAAGATAGGTGAATGAATTTTTCACAAACATCCCAGCTGATTCTGATGTGAGTGGTTTTGAGAAAACATTCCAGGGATTTCAAGAGTTCAAGAATCCAAGTTCATATCTAAACCTGCCTTTGAGTTTATGTCAATATGTTAAACACAGCAGATTGTCAATATACACATAATTAATAACAAAAGGGAACAAATAAGGAAATTCAGTTCATCTCATGACAGCCTACACTCTGTAAGTCAGAACTAGGGGATCTTGCTGATATCATAAATTACTTCCTCCTGAATTAGGAGCCACATGTAGTAAAAAAAGCAACCTAATGTGGGCTTTTGTCGTTGTTCCCTTTAGAGAGCACATACAATATTCTAATTACCTTTTAAAAATAAAAATATGTTGAACAATGTGTGTGTGTGTGTGTGTGTGTGTGTTTGTAAAGGAGGAAATTTGACTGACGATGGAAAAAATAAGCATCATTCTCTAGCCAACAGCAATAATCAGAGAAATATAATTCTGAAGATAACATAAAATAAAACCAAACAAATTTGATCATTCCTGATGTTAGGATTGTAATTTCCCTATCTCCACAGGAATTAATTGTGGACAAATATTGTGGTATTATCTAATTATTAATAACTCACAGAGAACTGGGATGTTCTCATCCTCACTTTCCTTTGGGGGGACCAGGATACAATCAAGTTCCAGGGTTGGGGGCCTCCTGTGAATCCAGGAAGCATGCTTTATATATTTCAGTAACACGTTATTTCTCAAATAGGCCACAAACCTGTGAAAGGAGCCCTGGCTTATTACTGAACGACCATGTGACTTGGAGTAAGTTATTCAACAGCCCCCCCTCCCTCAGTTTTCTCAGCTATAAACCGGTACCCAGGTCAATCTGGATTGATGGTCCAAGTTCCTTCCACTCAACCAGTATGCTCCCCTCACCACAGTGCCTAACTGAGGTTTATGTGATCATTTTTTAAAAGTTCTCTGTAAAACATGGAAGTAGGGCACAGACTGACATCCCTCAGAAGAGGGAGTGGGGGGTGGGAAGAGATAAACCACAGAACTTATATGCATGTATGCATAATCAGTGGACATAGACAACAAAGCCGGGGGGATGGGGAGGAGGGTGTCAATGGGGTAAAAAAAGGAGAAACATCTGTAACAAAAAAATAAATAAAAAATAAAAAAATAAAAGTGCTCTGTAAACTGTGAAGCACTATACAGACCAACGAGATTATTATCAGTCTTTTATGAAACCCAGCTATAAAGATGCAAAAAGACTCAGAAAAAGAAAGCCGGGTGGACAAACCTGAAATGCAACATCTACAGTGCCTAGAACATTACTCTGTACATGGTAGGTAGGTGCTTAGTAAGTAGAGTGAATAAAGAACAAAACAAAAAAATAGGTTTGCATTTCTACCAGACTAGGTATGAGATCGAGAAGGAATAAATATACCTAAAATCAAGGATAGTGTGATTCAATTGTACAAGTCACAATGTCCCAAGAGCTTAGATCCTAAATAAAATATTACTTGATATGAAAGAGCATTGAAATATAAAATATAAACTACCATCTGCAAAGAAATGGTTATATTCTTACCTTTCAGTCTTTCAGATGTAATCTTGTAGAGAGAGAAGAATCTTGGTGAGGTTGCTGAATTTTCCCCTTATATCTGATAGATCTGCATAATCATCCTAGCAAACTTGGGGGGAAATAACAAATTTCATAAAATGTTGGGTACCTCAACTCTGTTTTGGATCTGGAAAACTGACTTTTGGTGACACCCTAATTTTAAACAAACCAGATTTATCGCCTAATCTCCCCTCTAAACATACACACGAAAAAAGACTGGAGTGCAGGTTTGGGGGGGGGGGAGAAGCTATTTACTTTATAAAACAATTCTTTAAGAGTCCTTTGTCAGTTTCCTAGAAAAGTAAATGTGGCTCAAATTTAAATTTTCAAATTGTATTGCATAGCACTTTTGACATAGCTATTTGTAGGGTGAGGCAAACCCATTCTGGGAAATAACAAATTAAAATTCAGGGAAAAACATTTTCTTCTCGGTGGGCCTGAACTGCCCCACCCCCACCCCGCAATTGCAAATGTATTTTTATGCTGGGTAACGTTTCCAAAACAGAGGTGTGTTTTTTTCTGTTGTTGAAATGAAACAAACAAGTTTGCTTTCCGAGTCACAGAAATGCCCAAGTGTTAGAAAAAAATAGCGTTTTCCCCTGGCCGTTTTCCTCTGCCGTCCCCAAGCAAACTTTCCCGCTGGCCCCTCTCCGCGAGGTCCCGGGGCGGTCTGGGGACCTGGTTTTCGAGCAGCGAGAACTCGTCTCTTCAAATCTCGGGGACCACCCAGAATATGGCCGATGTGTGGCCAACGTGCGCGTCTCCTCAGCGCGCGAGCAGCGGACCCGCGTTTCTGGGTCTTTATTGGCAAAATAAATGAATGGGGCAACATTTTTTTTTAAGTTGAAGAAAGGAAGAAAATCTATTTAAAATTCATTTTATGAATCTGTGTTTTGGGAAGGGGCAGGACGAGAGAGATCGGTGCAAAGACCTCAACAGAACGAGCATAACGAGCCACAGGAGCCAAAGCTCCCCCGAGGCAGGGAGCCAGCCCCGCTGGAAGCGCCCTCGCGGGAGAGCTGCCCCTCCCCCACTGGCGGCCCGGCTGGGGCCGCCGCCCGCGACGCGAGGGCCGGGAATCTGGGCGCGGGTTGCGGTGGCGAAGGGCAGCAGAGACTCCTGGAGGGCACGTCCAGGCTTTGTCTCATCCTGCTGTGTCCCTCTCCCCTCGCAGCCATACTAGATGCTCAATAAATGTTTGTGGGACGCGGGAAGCGAAAAATCCGAATCTGTTCCCACGCCTCCAAGGCGAATCATCCGGAACGCAGGTTTCCTCAGACCCACTGTCTCCTCACGTTCGCTGAGGTCATTCGGCCTCGGCTGCTATGGCCCCAGCAGCAGGAGAGGAACCAAGAAGGGGAGCCGCTGGAGCCAAGATGGAGAGGAAACCGGACAGGGAGAGAGGCGGCGCGGGACGCGGGCAACTAGGCCCACCTGACGGCGGCGAGCGGGGCCCAGCCCTGCGCTCCCATTGACAAGGAGGCCGGCGCAGCCCGAGCGCGGGGCGGGGAGGAGCCCCGGCCCCGCCCCCGCCAGGGCCCGCACGCGCCACCCCAGGGAGCCACGGGCCTCCGAGGGAAGCGAAGTGGGGGAGGCTGGACAGGGGAAGGCCGCGCGCGCCACCGCCAACTGACGAGGGCCTGGGCGCGCGCGCCTCCCCGCCCCCGCCCCTCCCTGTCCCCAGGCTCAGCGCGCGGCTCTGCTGACGTCAGCGGGCGGTCGGCGGTGCGGGGTGCGCAGAGCCGCTGGCGCACTCGCGCTGCGCTCGCCCCCTCCCCCGCCCGGGCTGTGGCGCGCGCGCTCGCTTGCCCTCCCTTCATTTTTTTCTCCCCTCCCTCCAGCCTCTCTCGCTCCCTCTCTCCCCTTCGAGCTCCCGGCTGGCTGCGGCTACCTCGCGCTCTCCGTCTTCGGTAGACTCCACCGAGCGATGCGAGCTCTGGGAGATAGCGACACCGCCTCCCGCTAGAGACCTGCCCCCGGGGCCGGCCCCCTGCCCAGCCCTGCCCAGCGCGCGGGGGTCAGCGAAAGCGCCGCGAACGCACCGACGGCTGAGGATCGGCGATGCACATGCACTAGCAGCATCCCCCGACTCACTCCCTCCACTCCCCGCGCCGCGCCGCCTCCTCCTCCGGCAGTAGCGGCAGAAGGACCCACCCTGCCCCCCACCCCACCCTCCGCCGGCTCCGGCTGCAGTTCCTGCCTCGACTATTATTTTATTTATTTTGGGTCCTGCACAAGCCTCAGTGCCTGCAGCCGGCGCTTCCTCGGACCGCGGGCGCCACCTGCCTCGGTTCCAGAGCCCCAGACCCCGGCTACCCTCGCCTCGACACCCCCAGAGCCCCGCCAGCTGCCGCGAGTCTACGCTGCTAGAATCTTGTTAGCGGCTGTCTTTTGGGGGGGCTCTGGTTTCCCGACATTTTTGTTTTCAGCCAAAGGGAGAATAGCGTGATTTTTTTCCCCCTTTGAGCCCAGGCTCTGCTCTCTGGGGGGGTGGGGGGCGCGCCAAGCCGGGGAGCCGTGCCAGCCGAGTCGTGCGGGCTGTGGCAGGGAAGGGGCCACCATGGGATGTACTCTGAGCGCAGAGGAGAGAGCCGCCCTCGAGCGGAGCAAGGCGATTGAGAAAAACCTCAAAGAGGATGGCATCAGCGCCGCCAAAGACGTGAAACTACTCCTGCTGGGTAAGAACCGAGCTGCCGCCCCCATCCCCCGACCCCGGCCACTCCGAAACCCCTCAGTCAGCTCCCCCACCCCATTCGCGCCTGGGGAGACCTGGTCCCCAAGTTAGCATCACCATGTGCCAGGATCGCCCACCCTCTCGCATGCCTTACCCCCCTACCCTATACCCCATTCCCCTAAACTGACACTTACCAATTTCCTCCCCCTCCCCCGTCTGTCCCAACAGGGGCTGGAGAATCAGGAAAAAGCACCATTGTGAAGCAGATGAAGTAAGTCCCTGTGGCACTGGTATTTGTACTTTTATTAAGAATAATTTTTAATCTTTTGTATTACCTTGCTCACTCCACGTTGCTCTCCAGGCCCGGTTTTTAATTCGTGTACACACACACACACACACACACACACACCTGGATTTGACTCCCCTCGCCCATTTCCTACGTTGGTTCTAGGTCTCACACCCCAAACCCTGGGGTGGGTGTTGTTTGGGAGGGGAGGGGACAAGGAAAACCTGTAGTTGTATGAATGACAGTGTCCGCCATATTGATCAGAACATCACACTATTGGCATGATTATGATCATTACTCTTGCTTGCGGGGTGTTCTGTGTGTATTATTGCCTCTATTTCTGTCTCTGTTTCATTCTGTCTCTCACTCCTTCTTCCTCCATCCCTCACTCTATACCCTTAATCCCATTACCCCTGCTTTTCTCCTGGGGCAGTGATTTTGAATTTGGCTAAAACATGGAGGGAACCCAGCCCTAGATTGCTGGGGTGGAGGGTCAAGTGTCTGCTGTTCATGGATTTGGTGCTGAATTGGAGGTTGTAGTTCCCCCCTCCCCCCAAAGAGAATGAGGGTTAGGGGAAGGGGATTGTGGTAGGGGAGGGGATGGGTTTCTAAGTGGATATTACTGGCACAGCTGTGTATCCAAGGCAGAGGTGGAAGGGGAAACGCTGGCTGTGAGGCTGAATGCCCACCCCTTGCTCCCCCCCCCCTTCCCCCATTCTCCCAGCGTTTGCTGTCCTGACACTGGCAGTTTTCGTTCCCTCTGTGGCCTTTATCAATATATTTATTTACACTCTGCATAGGCCATGTTCCATGTAATCTACCCACAATGCGGATTTCAGGCCCCACTTGACGATGCCCCCTTCTGCCTTAGATATCAGTTTCCCCTCCTAATTAACTGGGGGTGGATTTGAGTGATGGTGGAAAATTAAAACAAAATGGGATATTTCTTCTCTTCCGCACTTTCTCAGTAAGGAGCCTCACCCCTCCTTCCCACTCTCAGGCTCGCTTCTTGCCCCATCTACTCGACAGTTTCTGGTGAGCCCACAGGCAGCTTGCTTGGGGAGGGTGGTGGTCTGAGGGGAAGGGGTGCGCCCTCCAAGTCTCCTGGCCCTGCTGCTTCCGTTGACCTGTCAGTTCCGGATGGAGGAGTTCCTTAAGACCATTTAGCGAGGATTCCACGTTGCTTTGCTATGACACCTTCGTGCACACACAGCTTCTAATTAGGGGTTGCTGTGCAGTAAACAAAAATGATTATTTTTCAACCTGACAGAATAGTCGAAGTAATTGCATCCCGTAGGAAAACAATGGAAAATAAAAACCCCTTTCATGGAAAGGGGGGTAAGAGACGAAGCGTGCTTGCAGTTTCAGAAACAAGATGCAAAAATTCTTGCATGTGTAACAGGCATGACAAGCGGGTTCTAACGGCGCCATGATGGTAGGGAGTAGCGACTTAGAGACAATTTTCCCTGTCTGCTTGACATGTTCTTATTTTTGTTCGCGAGGCCCCTGGGGCTTTCTGTGCAAAGGTCCCCTGGGCTCACCGCACCCCCTCTGAGCCTCTGAGCCACCGGTAATTTGGCCTGGGGCTTCTCTGGAGCTTGTGCAACCCAAATGGATGGAGAGGCGGGGCCTGGGGAATTGCTCTTTGCAACAAGGTGCATGTTGCATCTGCCGGGAGCCCTTGCAGGTCAGTAAATGCAAGCAGAGCCACCTCTTTCTCTCCAGGGGGAGATGTTTTAAAACTTAAGAAGCCTGTAATCTGCAGTGGCGGGCTCAGAGCCCTGTAGAAGCCCCAGCCACCAGAGCTGGGTGAGGTTTCAGGCGTTTGGAGTGGTGGACAGCGCCCAACCGAGGCTAGAAAAGTCGATGGGGCTCAGCTCGGCGGTGCTCGGCAAGGCTCGACGCGGGCTGGGCGCAGGACTCGGAGGGACTCGTCAGTGTTCGGAACTGAGTCGGTCCGGTCCGGGCGGAGAAAGCCGAGCTGCTTCGTAAGGGGCCGAAGGCATTCGGAAATGCTCGCGGGTGGGCAGGGGGTGGAGGAGGGGAGAAAGGGGGTGGTATCCTAGAGTCTGCAAATTAACTTTGCATCTACCAAATCACCTCCTTGCCTGCTTTTCTTAAACATGCCCCATAAATTAGGTTGATTTAATAAGAAGTTTAAAAATATATGCCGAGTCCTCCAAAAGGCACCTAGCCTTTTTTATTCAATGAGAGCTGAGCTCTCTAAGGAGATAGATGTGCCATTTTAGAATGAAAATTTCTAATTATGTACTGGGGCAGGAAATCTTAAATGAAGGCTGTATGTAGACTTAAATGTAGACTTTCTTGGGATGTAGATTTATGTGTCTCATATTTGGTTACACTAAGGAGGGGGAAAAACCCACACCAAGCTTTTGATGTTTGTGATGGTTAAATCAGATATCTGAGCATTTCTTCTCTTTTCCCTGCACTCCCTCCTTTTGTCACCCATACAGGACACCTTTTTGAAGAAAAATTTCAGGCAAAACTGAGATTTTGTTGGTAAAACTATATATACACACACACACACACACACACACACATACATATATATTTTTATAAATACACCAACTCTTTAGAAAATAGGCTAGGTTTGGTCAAAAGGTCAGTCAGAGAGATTTCTGGCTTATGTAAATTTTGCTACAAGGGACCCTGGTGGCCTGTCCTGAAGCATTCATGAATGGCAGCTTTTTTCTGTAAGTCCTCCAGCTTGGCTTGAAATAAATCAGATCAGGGCTTTGTGCCAAGCTGGATGCAGGACTTGTTTTATTAACCACAAAATGTGGGATTGGTGTCACTGTATTCTAGTGACAAATTCTTTTGAATCCTCCCTTACAGAGATGGTTTTCCTGATCACCACTAAGCTAAGAGTCACTTGAGTCAGGAGAATTGTACTGTGGGTGGGGCTGGGCCTGAAAATCTAGGTGGCAATTACAGAAAGCAGTTTCGGACTTGCCTGTGCAATACAATTGGTGACCAACCAATCAGGCCATATGTATGAGTTAATGAGGTTGCTGTTTAATTTCATCTGGGCAGATGAAATTAGAGAGATCTCTATGGGTAATGTCTTGATGATGTCCTAATGGAGACTGCAGTTTAATGGCTTAGCCTGTTGAATTGAGAGGAAGACTATGGATATTCAGACATCTCTAAATCCTTTTTAATCAGCATTTCCGGAAGAGCAAAGAGCCATTCCATCCAGCCTGTGTTGTTATCCATATTGTAATGTGCTAATTGAAAGGAATAGTTTTCTCTATATGCCTGTAATAACTGAAGTTATATGATAAAGGACTGGCTGGCATATGCTGCTTACAACAAAATGTCAACACCTGCATGAGCCTAGGAACATTACAGGGAGACTGACCTTTGAAATTATTTTGCTTGCTACATGTTGTAATGGGAAACTTGCATCCACTTAAGAGATATCACAGATTAGACTGTCATTTTAAAAGCCTGATTCTTAACGATTTATTAAAACTTTCATTTGAACACAGCTTTTGGGTTTGTTTTGAATTTGTGTATGTGATTGTGAACTAGTGTTTGGGAGCTCTGTGTCAGACAATCCAAAACATTTTAGTACTGAGAAATAAACACTGATAATTGAAACAGCACAAATATAATTTCACACATACCATGAGTAATCAGTGCCCTTTTTTATGTGTGGCATTTAAAATAATTTTGCTTACTTGGAGGTTGCAGCCTCACCTGTGATACAACCTCACCTTTTTTTTTTTTTTTAATATTTTTATTTAATTAATTTTAGAGAGGAAAGGAGAAGGAGAGAGAGAGGAATAGCGGTTCGAGAAACATCCATCATTCACCTCCCTTACATGCCCTGACCGAGGATCAAACCCATAACCCAGGTATGTGCCCTGACCAAGAATTGAACCCACAGCTCTTCCATGCATGGAATCAACCATGCTCCAACCAACCAAACCACACCGGCCAGGGCCAACCTCACCATTTTTGTAATCAATGAGACTCTTAGTTATTCAGACTAATCAAGATTTTTAAGAGTTCATTTAATTTAATTACCAAAACCTTTACAAAGAAATCTCTTAAAGAATTATATTTTATGAAGTATAGAATCGACAGAATATCACTTTAAGTGACTTCCCATTCTAAACAAATAGTAACAACTGCTATTTGGCCTTCTACCTGATGAAAATGCAAAATGAAGTATGGAGTTACCATGGGCATCACAGTTTGCCCTCATTTGAGGTGTTGAGTTTTCTGTGATGTTGCATCCAAGCAATCTGTCTCTGAAGCATTAAGTAGATTTTTAGGAAGGCAGAGAGTTTGAAAGTGGCAATGAGGCATGGCCTCCTAGCTGCTATGCTTTACATACATGGACACAGTAAATAGAGCACTTTGGGTGTGTGCTCATTCCCAAGGTGCCTGCTCAGTGCCACTGTAAAACAGATTTAAGAATTTGCCTGATAAAGACATCATACTCATACAAATATCCTAGCCCTTATAGTGGGATATGATTCTAAGGACAGACCCCACCCTGTCAGGGAAGGCAATCTTAAGATGTCACCCGCTGCCAGAGGCTGGTGGTTTTCTCCTACCAGCTCATTCTGGTGTTGTAATTAGGGTGTCTGCTATTAGGGTTGGGTTCCGGGCAAGCCTGTGTTCATTGAACACACCCCTGTTCAGCACCTACTAAATGGTAGGCATGAATGGAGGCAGATGGCAACACACAGCTATTACTCCATAAAAGTGCAGCTGTCTAAAAGGGCATTTCCTGCACATCCCTAACGGGTCCCATGTTGAAGCAGTGCTCCACCAAGAGCCACTCTTCTAGATCTTTGGACTTGTTATCTCCGCAATCATCCTCCCAGCTGTTTTGCTACCCTCCCTTCCTCCTGTCTCCATGTTTATTCAAATGGATGCACCTTGCTCTCTGGAGACAGCGTGAGCGCGAACAGAATGTCAGATCAAGTAGCAGATGAGTTCTTTTTTGC